ACTGATTTTTTTTTTTTTTTTTTTTTTGTAATAGGCTAAATTGTCTTGCAGCATCTTCTTCTTTTGGGTAGTGGTCAAACTTCTTACTAATATAGCATTGAATTTGAGATTTGTTATACAGCCCATATTTACCTCATCCACGACCTTGGCCTCGATGTCTTGGGTTTATATTGTCTCCTTCATTTTGGTTATTTTGTACTTCTTGAGTGGGTTGATCTCTTCCTCCTCGTCGTTATTCACGACCTCTACTTCATTGTTTAGTTTATAGAGCTTGCTCTAATGACTTATCTTCTCTTCTTATGAGCATTTGTTCATGTACTCAAAGAAAACTCATTATTTGTTCCAAAAATAATTGTTTTCACTATTTGAATTCTTCAATTACCACAATAATAAAATCAAACTTTGGATCCCAAAGAACTTAAATATTTCTCCATTACTCTCTGGTCATTAATTTGTTCACCATTTTTTCTCATTTGGTGAATAATATAAATGAAATTATAGAAGTACTTTGAAATGGACTTAGAGGTTCATTGTTGTAGTTTTTCAAGTCAGCTCTTAAAGTTTAAAGTTGGCAGGTGGATCTTGTTCACCTTGTCCATACCACCAAAGGTTTTTTTGTAAAGTGTTCCATGCCAGCTTTGATATCTTTGACGAAGCAATAATCTCAAACTTCATTTTGCTAAGGACTTAGTATATTGTGAATAAGGCATTCTTCTGTTTTCTTTGATATTTGAGTTGTTTTGTTGCTTCTTTATCCATTTGTATTTTTTCCTCCATACTAAGTTTAATAAAACCATCTCGTACAAGCTTCCACACATCAAGAGTGCCTTAATTTGTATACACCATAAATTATAGTTTTCCTTCATCAATAAGGAAATTTATGTTGAAAATGCACTCTAGGAAGTCATGAGTTAACTTGGCTCTCCGATATCAATTGAAGAAAGAAGTGGAGAGATTAAAACAAGTTAATTTGGACAAGGAAAGAAGGGTTTCTTGATGTATTTACTAAAACTTATACAACTCAATTGTTTTCACAACACATATACTCGAAGGGATACAAATCATGACTTTATATAATCCAAGAAAAACTCTTTAACACAAATTAATTTCGAAATCCAAATTAAATTCTTTTTATCGTTTTAATACCATTTTCTAATTTAATTTATACACGTATCATATCATAAACGTGGTGCGGAAGTGTACAAGTTGAACACGCTGACAGCATATATACATTTGCATGGAACACAAGGATGTGGAAGTTGTGTGGATATAAATGAAGCCGTCGCGACACTGCCATTACAAAGCCCATAAGATTCTCCGTCTTCTGCTCAGTGTTGTCCACCGAGCCCAATGGCTTTCTGCGCTTCTGCTCCGCCCTTCTGCAGTCTCATCGGTGCCCATCGGTGGACGTCGCCGTCCAAGGCTTCACCACGTCCATGCTTCCGACCACATATCCGGTGTGCTGCGCAGACTCCTCCTCGGCGATCGGCTAATTACCAGCCAAGTTCGTGGAGTGACGAATACATCCAATCGCTAAGAAATGACACCAAGGTCGGCATGCATGCAATCTGTAAACTTGAGTTTTATCTATAGTTCGCACTGGTTACTGACTAGCTTTCATTAGGTGGAGGAGGATAACGCAACAAGGATGGGAAAACTGACAGAGGACGTGAAACAACTGATCTACATGAAGAAGGGAATTGAGGACCAGCTTCAACTGATCGATCACCTGCAGCAGCTTGGGGTGGCGTATCACTTTAAGGAGGATATTAAGGATGCTTTAGGGACTATATACGGTTCCGTGGAAAAGGTGAACATGTTGCTGAAGGATAATCTTCATGCCACGGCTCTTATGTTCAGGCTTCTCAGAGAACATGGGTTTGATGTTTCTGAAGGTGATTAAGCTGTATATCCTGCTTTACTCCTTTCTTGGCGACTGATACAGCATTGTCGCTGATGTACCTCATATATTGCTAGAACAATTACTTCCATAAAACTGAGACAACTAGAAATATGTCCAATTAGTCATAAATTATGCCACGTTAATAGCCTAACATTCTAATGGAATTTTGTGTTTATTCTGTTCTATCATGGTGTCACAATCTAACTTGCACAAATTATGTGGATGGACAGAAGGTGTATTCTACCGATTTATGGATGAGAAGGGAAACTTGAAAGCCAGCCTTCGCCACCAGACTGAAGGATTGGTGAGCTTGTACGAGGCTTCCCATCTTGCAAAGGAAGGAGAGCACGTGCTGGAAGAAGCTACGAACTTCACAACTAAACAGCTCAAGAGCCTCATGGAGGGATCACTTGAGCCTCATCTCAGGGAGCACGTAGCCCATGCCTTGGAGCTTCAATTGAACTGGAGGATGCCGAGGTTACAGACCAGGTGGTTCATAGAAGCATCCCAATGGGAAGCGAAGATGAACCCTGTCCTACTTGAATTGGCTAAGTTGGACTTCAACAGGGTTCAGATCATATATCAGAGGGAACTCAGAGAAGTGTCGAGGTATTTTAAGCTTGCTTTACTTGAATCATGTCTTGCGCAATCTGCCCTCGTTTATGAACCAGCAAACTTCAGCACAAACTTATGGCTATCGATCAGATGGTGGAGCAATCTTGGCCTCGCGCAAAGGCTTCCATTTTCCAGGGACAGGTTGATGGAGAATTATTTCTGGACGGTTGGCTGGGCTTTTGAGCCACAGTTTGCAAGAATTAGGGAGGCGCAGACAAAAGCGAATTGCCTGATAACAACAATAGATGATGTGTATGATGTTTACGGCACCATCGATGAGCTCGAGCTTTTCACGGATGCCGTCGATAGTTAAACAACTCCTCCTCGTCATGCATGTAGGAGGTGTTATTTCAAGAATCTTTGATTCCTGATAACATCTACTCTGATGGATGTTGCAGATGGGATGTTAATACAATCGACAAATTGCCAGAGTACATGAAGATATGTTTTCTAGCCCTCTTCAACTCTACAAATGACACCGCGTACAATGTTATGAAAGAGAAGGGTCTGGATATAATTCCACACGTAAAAAAAGCAGTAACATATCGATCCCATCCCCTCTCTTTTGTGTATCGTCAATCATGCAGTTCCACTTTATAAACAGTGCTACCGTTGGATTCAGTGGGCAGATCTATGCAAGGCATACATGGTGGAAGCAAGGTGGTACCACCAAGGCTACACACCCAATCTTGAAGAGTACTTGGAGAACGCACTAGTATCGATATCGGGTCTCCTGATATTGACTCTTGCTTATTGCACCAGTGACGATTTAACTCAGGAGGCCTTGGATGATTTCCAAAGCTGCCCTGAGATTGCAAGATGGTCATCCATGGTTTTTCGACTTTGTGATGATTTGGGTACTTCCACGGTATGAGAATTGCTCCATACTTAATCATTGGTTCATGGAATGAACGTAATAAATAGTTCACACAGTTTCTCCTCTCTGCATCGGTCGTTTTTGTGCAGGACGAGCTTGAAAGAGGCGATGTATCCAAATCTTGTAAGCATAAAAATCTGTAATTATGCTAAATCAATAATGTGGAATTAACCTATATGCCAGGATTTGAAATTCAATACATAGATCTAATTATACGATGCGTACCTTTTGATGCCATCCGTTCAGAGATCTTGTTTGATCTGCTCAGCACCGTGATCCAAGATTGCTGCGCTCCGTCTTTAATCCAATCGCGCTGCGGAATCTGCAGGGAGTGCGAGAGTAGACCCTTTCTCCTCTCTTCCTATCCTTTCACAGGATCACACAAATTGATGGATTTGGGGAGAGGGTTTTGGGGGAGAGAGTCGAGGAGAATAACTGAATTCCTCAACGGAGAGATGCGTCTATACGTGTCAACGTTATGACGCGCTAACACACTAACACACTAAC